TTCCCTACAGAAAGGACTTTAAAAAATGTACATACTATGTTTCATACTGCATTAGGCTGATTGAGACACTGCCTTCTTGGGAAAAACTAAGCTAAAGAAAGCATACACCTATTTCCAGTAAAAATACCATTGGTGAAGAAAACTTGAGCAGCTCATATGATAAATTCTGTGTTATGATAAGATAGCAAATGTCTCATTAGCGGAGTCAGAAAATTTTTATCTTGAGAGGCTTAAAGTTTTCAGACTTACTCTCTAAATAATGAGGGAAAGCATGTATGTAATATTAGTGGAAATGCTTAGAGTGCAAAGAATCTGTGGAGGCTTTCCCAATGTATTTAATTTTTCCTGATCTGCTTACTGCCTGCTCTTCCATTAAACTGTTAGTACGCTTACAGTTGTTACAATTCTAATGACACAGTAGGATCCTGATGGAATAAGTTTCAGATTGTTTAAATGCACTACTCTGCAATGTAAGGCATGTGTATTTTGTATCAGACTTTTTTCTAGAATGTCTATGAATTGGTGTTTATGAACAGGAGGCATGCATTTCTTTTAAAGATTTTATTAATGGAAAATGGGACTCTTACTCTGATCGAATTGTCTTAAAAACTTAGCTTGAATAGATTACATTATTAATCTAATAATTTTGATTATTTTATTAATGTAATGAGTAATTGTTCTGTAAGGAATAAGGAATAGATTCTACCAATCTGCTTTTACTAAGCGTAGAGTTCTTGTACCTATTTTTGCTCCACCGCGTAAAATAGAGATATAAATTGGAATGTCAGAAAAGTAATAATTGCTCAAAGTACTTTTAAACACTTAAAGAATACAATTAAAGAAGCTTTCTGTTTTGTGGTTTCTGATATACTTGCCTATTGTTATGCTGTCAGAGTCCAGTAAATTTGTGCTACTGCTTTTTAAAAGTATGAAATCTAGTGCTGGTTTTTTAGTATTATTCATAGTATTTGTATGTATATCTTCTTTAAAATGCCATTTTATTAGTTTAAGGGACCATTCACATCTATAAAATATTTTTATTTTATAGGTCTTTTATCTTTTGGAGTAAAAGAATCTGCATGGGTGAATAAAATTTTCACTGCTATTAACATCTTGGTCCTACTCTTCGTTATGATTTCTGGTTTTGTGAAAGGAGATGCTGACAACTGGAAAATAAGTGAAGAATACCTCCTAAACCTTACTGCAATAACAGAGTATATTTTTTTTAATCAATTTACTTGCTCATATACCAAGCAATTTTCTGTTATACTTGTTTTTGTGGTATTGTAGGTATTGTATCAACTCATAGCTCTGTCACTGGGAATGATAAACTTTTTATTCCCTTAAAAATTGGTTTTTATTTCCTTGTTTGTAGTTTCCTTAAAAAAAAAAATTATTTCAATACTCTTCTTTGTAGCCATTTGAGAGGTTACTGGCTTCTTGTCCTTAAGTCATGTATTAACGGCAGTATGTGAGTATGACATCAGGAGCTGCCTATATCATTAGTGTTTTAATATGTTTTCCCATAAACTGCAAAGTGAGTAAGATGATAGTTAGTTGGTTCAGATATTCTTCCATTTATTGTTATTTTTGTCTTTTTTACAAGCTTCGACATAAAAATGTCTTTTCATGCAGCTTTGTAAAGCAGAACTCTGTCTTGACAAGAGCATTTTAACGTGTTTTTCCAGAGTAGTAGGGGAGAAGCATGCATGTGTTTGTCCTTCCACTAATAAAAAAAAAAAATTATTTTTCTGCTGTATTTTTGTTCTTTATAGGAATTGCTTATCCTGTGAGAATGTGACAAGTATATATGGGAGTGGTGGCTTTATGCCATATGGTTTCACAGGAACATTGGCTGGTGCTGCAACCTGTTTTTATGCTTTTGTTGGATTTGACTGCATTGCAACAACTGGTATAGTATTTATATGTGTGTGTATATATGTGTAAGTACATATGTATAACATGCTTTTTTTGGTAAAAAATACCCACAGAAACAACATAACAATATGTCTGCTGTTCTTCCTTTGCTTTCTCCTAAACCTCCTTCAGTCCATGTAAAATGAGTCTGAGTTCGTTCCTGAATGTGGCTATCATTTTGGGAGGAAGGAGGAGATTGTACTTATTTTATTCCTGTTCTAAAGAAATTAATTGTTGTCTTCTAAGTCTGGGAAGTGCTTAGTATACAAATTTTTTCTGCCCAAATCACGTTAATCTCCTGCTCACTTTTACAGTTCTCTGAGATGAGGTATCTCTCCTAAGGGCTGGTTTGTATATGGCTGATAGGGAATGAGTACATTAAACTTATAAATTGTAGGTAAATAACTAGAAATTATGGGCTTTGAGTACTCTAAATATAGAATGTATTTTATGTCCTTTAGTTTACCTCTATTTTTTAATGCTATTTCTGGCAAGAAAATACTGAGTTTTGTTCTGTGTGACTAAGCTTATTTTATACAGATTTTTAGAACTTCTATTACAAATATGATTCCCATGGTTTAGATTAACAAATGATTTGTCTTTGATGTCATCTTTTAAAGCTGAAGGTGGAAATGAGTAAGAATTTTTGGTGGGGCATTTTTTTTCCTTTTTTCAGGAGAAGAGGTCAAGAATCCTCAGAAAGCCATACCCATAGGAATTGTGGTGTCCCTGCTTGTCTGCTTCATGGCCTATTTTGGGGTTTCAGCTGCACTGACACTTATGATGCCATACTACCTACTAGATGAGAAAAGTCCTCTGCCGGTAGCATTTGCATATGTTGGATGGGATCCTGCGAAATATGTTGTAGCAGTGGGATCCCTCTGCGCTTTGTCCACAAGGTAAAGACATTGAAATACTGATTTTATTGGGAAAAGCTGATGGATAACATATTATATATATTTAAATATATGTTCATGCATTCATTTTGAAGGCTCAGTTCATGCAAAGGATTAGCAATAAGTATTTTAAGCATGTTTTAGACTTAAGCACGTGGTGATCACAGTAGGTGGATTAATTTAAGTTCCTTTTTTAAACTGTACTGTTATTGAACTTTACCTGTTTGGCTTATTACCCAAAAGTTTTTTATTAAAATATATATTTTCAGACATATGACCTGCAAGTTATCTTTATTAACTGATAAAATAAACCTCACCCATTTTGTCCTTTCTTGCTTCTTCCACTCCCAATGACTCAGCAGCTTTATGGGCTCTGTATATTTGCAGGCAAAATTGAAGAGATGATTAATTAGCTCCACTCCTCATCTTCGTTGCCTGTCTCTGTTTTCCTTCAGTAGCCAGTCTGTCTTCTGGCATCATCCCTCCCTGTGGTTTCTGTGGGGGTATTTGAGATGTATATTATAGCTATGAAAATATGATAATTTATTCCCCTTTGTGAAACTGCGGCTGTAACCTTAACTTAATGTGTCATTTTGATTAAAAAGATCAGGGAGGGCATGAGATGTATTAGTATGTGTTCGTATATATTACACCCCAATTGTAATGTGGTATAAACACTTTCACAGAATAGAACATTGCTTGATACTTGAATTTAGGGATAGAAAAATGCAGATGCCAATCTTCTACCTGCATTTATGTAGGTAAGGAGTAATTTATGTGAGCTTCAGTGGCAAGAATACCGGCTGCCTTTCCACAAAGGAAAACGACATGCCTCTTTAAGCACTAATGCTAACAGTACTCTGAGATAACCCTGTAAGCATTAGTCTGAAGAAGATGAGCACGCTGACTGTGGATGATTTAAAGGAAAGGAGTATTTTGATGTAGAAGGGGATAGAAAAAGGAAATAGTTCTGGAATGATGTTAACAGAATTGTAGGGCTGACTGAATAATGTCATAGTCATACTGTTCATTCTGGGATTATAGTTATTTTCTATCTAGTTGTCATGGTCCCCTCATTTTGGAGGGTTTTACTGAATTTGTCCTCTATATTGATAAAGAGTAAAAGTGATATATAAGCAGAAATTAGCCTAAAGAAATTAATACCGGAAAACAAAATTAACTGAGGTGGTAAAACCCTTTTTCAGAAATTTGAACTGCTGGTGTCTTTTGCCAGCGTATTCTGAAGAATTATATTTGCTCATATGGAGAGGTTGATCTTTCAGTCTGTTGACTGATGTCAGTTTAGAACAAAACAAAGGAAATTGTATTTCATATTCCTCAGTTTAGAGGTATAATTAAGAAAAATTGGGATCATTGCTTTTGGTCCATATAATTACCTCTTACTGTGTTATGTCATGAACTTATTTCCTCAGGGTAAAGATGTTTGTTAATATTTCTGGTATTTATGTGTATGTAGGGTAGGATAAATAAGTTTTACAAAGCCACAACAGCAAAAAACTTGGCAGTGGATTTTAACAGTATCCTTATGTGAAAAATCAGTTATCACCCTGATTTAGGAAACGTTCTTTTTTGGAAGGGACATTCATACACCAAAATCGGTTCATGTGCAATGAAACTTATCTCATGTGTCTAACAACGCTTGTGTCTCACGAGCATTACTGGAGGTACTTAGCATCTGTGGTATGTAAAAGCTGTGCCTTCTGTAAGTGATAGTTGATTCCCTGAAGTAAGAAAGGCAACCATTCACCTGGTTAAAAACTAGTGTGCTTGCTGCAGAGGTTATACTGGCTATTATTTTGCCTTTCATCCTTTCAATGTTTTTGGTTTTCTTAATTACAATTATTTTGGTTTGAGGGAAAGAAACCACATAATTTAAGAAGTATGTTTAAAAAAAGCTTTGAGTTACCAAAAGTTTAAAAGCTTTCTGTGTTCTGCTAGTAACAAATCTAAATTAATTAGCTTTACTTCTTCCAAAAAAAAAGAAACAATCTTAATGAAGCTTGGCTAGAAGTGCTTTAATCAAAAGAAACAGTGCGCCCAAGTATAACTATATGGTGCTTGCTTTGAATTACTGTTAATCAGCAGCCTCGCATGGAAATGTAGAGTGTAAGAGATGCTGCTAATACTTATTGGTTTGCTGTTGCTGACTGACAGACTTTCTCTAGGAATACTAAAGCTTAATTGCATAGTTAGTGTGACCTGGAACATGCTTCTGGTCCACTAATACCCAAGAACTACAGTGATGGCAAGAGTTAATTTGCTAATCTGAATTCTCTCTGATGAAGCAATTCCATTACCTAAATTAATTAAAAAAGAAAAATCAATCAACTTTACACAGAAAAAGAAATTTCTGTTTGTGTCTGATCTGTAGTATCTTGGCTATGGGTCTTTCTGGTTTTGTCTTACAATCATAAATGTTGTTTCTATACATGCCATTAATTAACATTGTATATCTTGTCCATGATACGATTCTGCATGAACTGTGTTTGCCATGTTGCATGTGTTTGCTTTTTACTCAGTCTTCTTGGATCCATTTTCCCAATGCCACGTGTAATCTATGCTATGGCAAAGGATGGGTTGTTTTTCAAATGTCTAGCTCAAATCAGTTCCAAAACGAAGACCCCAGTAGTTGCTACTCTATCGTCCGGTGCAGTAGCAGGTGAGACTAAGAGTTGACGCTTGTAAAGAAAGGTGCACTGCTAAACACGTTGCATATATGGAAATAAACCACTGTTGTGCAGCTTTGATTTGCTTTGGACTGAAATGATCAAATCTGATTGTTGTCAGGTAAAGTAGGTTACCAGTAAAACTCTTCTCTACTACAGATTGTGTATTTGTTGGTTAATCGCAAGCCTAGGTTCAAAATAAACAATCACCCAAACCCAAGAACATCAGTCAACCAAACAAAAAACCAAGAGCAGCAACACAGAGCCTAAACCAAAATGAAACCTAAACCCATTAACTCTTCCAAGCTTTCTTTTTGTGTAGTTGGGTTTACCAGTAAAGCATTGTGCTTTTTATAACCTGTATTTGAACTATACATTTTTCTGTTCTAGTCTTCTCGGCTCTATGTTCCCTTTGCCCCGAATTCTGTTTGCCATGGCACGCGATGGTTTACTCTTTAGTTTTCTTGCCAAAGTGAGTAAGAGGCAGGCACCAGTTTATGCCACCTTGACAGCAGGGGTCATCTCTGGTAAGCTCTCAAAGCCCGTGTTACTTAAAACTGGGATTTAAACACTCTATGCACGTGCATGGTACTTAATATTTTTTAAAAGGGCTGCTTGTTAACTTCCCTTGCATGTACAATGGGAATAAAATTACTGAGTAATCAAAGGGTGTAAGAACTCCAGATCATGCCAATCATGGTGGTGGTGATGTCCTTAATGTCACAGAATTCAAAATTATTTTTTTTAATATTGGCCTCTTGTATTGTGAACAAGCTTGTTACTTAATCTGGGTCCCCTAGACTGATGCTCTACTTACAGAGTTTCCTTGTCTGATGTACACCTATATATTTATCACACCTCTAAGGGGAGAAAATAACTGTCACATTTTCTATAATGAGACATGAGAAAAAATTTCTGCATTTGCAGCAGGATGAACTTTTGTGTAAAATGCAAAGATTTTGAAATTTTCTTCTAAAGAAAAAGGATTCTGTTTTTGTATAGGCTTACCAAATCGTGGTCGAGGGGTATGTATGCATGTTGGGGGGTTATGTGTGTATGCACATATATGTATGCATATACATGCCCACATATATTTTAGCAAAGCAGCATTTTGGGAGCTGTTGCCAACTCTTAATGTTTCACAAAGAGACATTTTTACCATACAACTGTTTCACTTTTATCCATACCTCTTGCAGAGGTACATGTAGTTGCACCCAAATAAATAAGTCTTAAAAGTAATTCAAATATGAAATACATGCCTTATAACATTTAGCAACCCTGGCTAAAATTGATATTAAATAAAAGGTTCAGAACTGAGACTAAAATGTTATTATTTATAGTCAGGGTCATCCTCAGATGCCACAAGACTGGAACTTGGCAGTAACGTGGGGGAAGGCACAGTCATTGTCTGGATAGTTCCCACATGAAGCATTATTATCCATTCTCTTTTCTTTGGTCAGAGTACAAATAAATTGCTTAGAATTACTTTTATTGTTTTGACTTTATATTATTTGCATTTATAATATTGTCATATTCCCCTATAATAATTTGGAGGTGCAGTTATGCGGGATGAAATGAACATCTTTCTCTGATCACAGTAATGATGAGGAGAAAGAAAACCATATTACCCAGCTGGTAAACTGATTGATACAGTTCTACAGCCCTGACTGTAGCTGCGCAGCAGCCGTCACTTGGGCTGCTTTTAGAGAGTTTGGGGAATTTGGTGTGTCAGCAGCTCACCTGAAGACAGCTTTGTCTACTGCTGGAGAAGGAGTAATTTCTTCTATTTTTAAGAAGATGCATATTTGGTAACTTGTGGTCATAAATACCTTTGCCAGAATAGTTACAGATGTATGCAACAGTTTATGTTACCTGACTTTTCTATTCATTCATAGCATGGATAGTTTCATAGCTTTAAGAAATGTTAAGGAGATCAGATGTTTGGCCTCTTTACTTCAAGTTACCAGTTCAAGCCTCCAGCTGAGGCAATTGTCACATGTTATTACTGTGACTTACCTTTTCAGATGTGGTAACTGTGACTGTGAAACTCTCCACATAGCAAAATGTTTTGGTGTCAGTCCAAGGTTTCTTCACCATAAATTTATCTGCCATTGTTTCTTACAATTGGAGTAGAATTAAGAGAGGTGGAAAAGCAATATTGTGTCTTTTTTTCTCTTAATCAGAAACTTGCAGGCATTTTTCAGTTTGGTTCTAGTGCAAAAGAATATTCTGGGCTACAAAGTAGCCTTTCAAAGCTATGATTAAAAATTAAAGAAAGCAACTGTACATGAGGTTATAGTAGGTTCTGCTCTTCCCCAGCTTTTGCTTACCTATGCTCTTTTGAGCATGCAGAGCAGTGAGGTATTCAGAAGTCTATCCTATAAATGACTTCTTGGATTTAGGAACATCCACCCGTCATTAAAGAAAACGGGATGGCCTTCTTTCTTTCATTGGAAAAGGAGATATGCAGATGAAGTAAAACTTCTGTAACAGAGCAGTCTTGTTTTCAGAAAATCACATTTTGCTTTCCTCTTCAGGATCAAAAACCAGGGGAATGTGTGTTTGTGTGGTTGTGCACTTATACACCTGTCTAGAATTATATTAACAAGCACATAACATAAATATTATATAAAAGTATTTCTGAATATAGAAAAATTTGTGTGTGCATTTACATATGGTGTACAAAGGCTACATTTAATAGTTTCTTTTGGTGTTGAGATTACTGCTCCAAAAGAATGTGGCACTAGCTTTTATAAACACAAAGACTGCCGTAATTACTCTCAGTATCATGGAAGTTTCTGCCTCTGATTTCAGTGACTTAAGATTATTAATTCTTGTGAGAGTTTGCTGGCCTTACCTGAAGGCCGCTTGAACTTAACTTATTTTTAGTAAGATAATCAATTTAAAAAAACCCAAAACTATTTTATTTGCGACAACTCCTGAAAGTCCTCTTTACATAGAGCTCTTTCTCAGCTCAGCGGAGATTTTACATACTGGTGGCTTAGCAGGTCGGATCATTGTTCCCTGGTTTTGCAGTGGGAGCCATCCTCTCAGCTTTGGTGAGATTCTGTTGCAGGATCTGAACCTTATTCTATAAAAATGTACTTTTAATGTGGCCCCAATTCAACAAGCCGTATGTGCAATACTTATGTCCAAGTAAGTCCAATACAAATTGCTTGATGATGCAGCATGACTGTACAGCTCATCAGTGCATATCTATATGAATGAGATTCCCAGCTGTAGGGAATTGGGTTTGGGAGTGTTGGTGATGACTTCAAAAACGTGTTTTTAAGGCTTACCATGATTTCACTCATATTGCTGTCAGTAAAACAGTGTAGAGTTACACTGCAGACAGATTTTAATATCTTAGCTCTTAATATGTTAGCCCCATACAAATCTTGCATTTTCTTTTTTTTTTTTTTTTTTTTTTTTTTTTTGTAGCTATAATGGCATTTATGTTTGACCTAAAGGCTTTAGTGGATATGATGTCTATTGGTACACTTCTTGCTTATTCACTTGTGGCAACCTGTGTCCTCATTCTTAGGTGAGTCAAAACCACCCTTTCCATTCTGGTGTGTTGTGTTGGCCAGTATGTAAACAGAAGTGACATTTACAGTGTATGGTTTTTGCTAGATAGCTAAATGTTTAAAATTTAGCTGTACATGTATAAATAATTACTAAGAGGCAGTGACCCAGCAGAGAAAACACTGATACATTGTCATATCAGTATAGCAGTTAGTCAAGTCAAAGCTTCATAATGGAATCTACACCCTTTTATTTTCCAGAAGATGCACTGGTCCAAGCATTAGTCCCAAAGGTACTAGATGTAAGCTTGTGTCCAAAATTCAGTGAATGATATTTTGATATGAATACAATCTATGCTGTACATCTGGCCTATCACATTGTGGCTATGTGTGAAAGGTGTAGATGTTCTAGGTAGTTCACAGGATGAACAAGTTCAAACAGCTGCTTTGTATTACCCTAGTCAGAAATGTAAGGCCAGACAAGTGTTTCAAGATGTGGTAGCCCTAGAAGAGAGCACAAATATTCTCGCTCAGTGAGTGAGATTATAAATGCTTGTCAGCAAAACTCTGGTATCTGTTCTGTTTGAAAAGCTACAGAATAATATTGATATGTTGGTAGCTACCGCTCACTTTATTATGTATTCCTCTTTTTAACTTAAAAAGTCAGTCTTTATTACTTAAGGCTATCTAATTAACTTTGAAAAGTATAACAGCTTAAATTCAGCTCAAATTCAATGTTGCAATAATTTACACCTTAAAAGAGAAGACCATTTTATCCTACAGTGACTTATTTAACATATGTATTTTTAAAAATACACTTAAAGTCTAACAAAGCAGATGTAAAATTTCAGTTTATGCCAGTTAGTAGGCCTCTTACAGTATGGGAAGCAAGTCAGAATGAACTTGCCACTGCTGAAAGAATCTCCCCTACCCTTTCCCTGCCATTGACCACCAGACCCTGTCCCCTCTTTTTATACGAGTCTGATCATTTATCTGACCCATTGGTGCATTCACATAGCTTAAAAAACTTCCCAAAAAAATCTCCAAACAAACCCAATAAAAAAATGAGTTTCCGTAGTTTATTTATATATGATAATGACTAATAATATATGCTGTTGCAGTGCAGTTATAAATTGGGAAATCCTAAATGTCTTCTGCAAAGAATTTAGTATTTAAATACATTCCCAGAGTCATATTGCTTCAGAGTAAGCTTAATGTTTTTATTATCCTGTTTGTTTTATGCATAGGTACCAACCCAGTTTAACCTATGAGCAACCAAAATATTCTCCAGAAAAAGCAGCTTTGGCTGCATCTGAAAAGGAATCTGCAGTAAGTGAATCACAGATAAATATGATACAAGAGAATCACTTCAGTCTTCAGGCCCTGATTAATCCATCTGGTTTACCTACCAAGCAGACTGCATATACTGTTAACTTTTTAGTGGGTCTCTTGGGTAAGTATTCAACTGTCCAAATTCATATAATACATTAATGTAAACAATGGAATTTTATTAAAGACAAAATTAAAAATCCAGTGATAACTTGCCTTCTTTCAGTCATAATTAATGTGTCATTCTGCAGAATGCTTTTATACTTCTTGATGGATCTAATCTGTAGTCTACTGTTTTTTCCTTTAATTATACATTTTCATGATAACATTTCATACTGAAGACATGTTAGCATACTTCTTAAGTCATGTCCTCTTCAATGCAGAGATTAAGTGACCTCTTTCCCATTTCCATCATTTTGTTTTTCACACAGCTTTCTTGGTTTGTGGCTTGAGTGTACTCACTACTTACGGGATTCATTTCATTGCTAACTGGGAGCCCTGGAGTATTGGCCTTCTTGCTGTGTTGGTGGCATCCTTCATAGTTACCATTCTCCTCATCCAAAGGCAGCCTCAGAACCAGCAGAAAGTGGCCTTTATGGTGAATAACATATCCTCTATGTTATTCTCTAATGAGAGGTTTGGATGGATTCTAACAAGTGGGAGAGGGGCAGAGAGAGAGAGAGAGAGATGGTCCTTTTTCAGGTAGTCTTTCATTACTGCACTGCCACTATTTCAAGTTTTGTGGTGAAGGTAAGGGTAGTGGATGCTCATGGCTGAGTCATCGACGTGCGCAGTCCAGTCCCAATCTTCTCCAGGACTAGAGGAAGCATTTCATTGCCCACAGACACAATGTGTGACATGCACAGGAGCGTGGCTGCAGAAAATGGCTGTACCACTCATGTTGGTGTGAGCAGCTGCTATTACAACTAGTGGATCTGGCAACACAGGCGCACCTTCAGGCGCACCCTCAAAGTCCACCTTGCTGAGACCCAAGTAATTTTAGACCTCAATTTAAGCATTTAGAAACTGGAAAACGATTCAGAAACTGATTAGTATACAGTCACTTGTCTGTGTTGTGTGTAATGCTTTGGACACAATACAGTTCGTACCTCCCAGAGTATAATCCTTTCATTCTGTTCTTTCACTTATGTGCTAAGATCAGTTACTTAATGGAGTATTTAATGGAAATAGTGAAGTATAGTGATGAAGGTCAAGCAATCTGGTGGAGTTGGGGGGGCATTTCAGAAAGAAGAGATATATAAAAATATATAATATTTTTCAGCTATAGATACAGGAATTCATTAGTATATGTTCAGCACAAACTGCAAAGTTTTTCTACACAGCCTTAGAGAATATATAGTAAACATAACATATTTTAAAAGTTTAAGATATGTAGAAACTGGTGGTTAAACCCAGTGAAAAAGAAAATTTCACTATATTCTAATAAAAAACTTTTTTCAATTCTTTTTTAATGATTAGATGTGTCACCTCTAGTTTGTGTTTTATAACTGAAGTCTGACATGCAAGAAAATATACTTAATACAAATGCATTAAATGTTTCCTTTTAGGTTCCCCTATTGCCATTTTTGCCATCATTCAGTATCCTGGTAAATATTTACTTGATGGTACAATTAAGTGGAGACACTTGGATCAGATTTAGCTTCTGGATGGCACTTGGTAGGTACTTCTGTTCATTTCAATCAACGCTTATGTTAGGACTCATGAATCCCATCTTAGAAAATTTGATTTTCTTCCCTTAAATATTAAAAAAAAGTCTGTGTTTTAATAAAAGTCAGCTGATATGTCTGATCAAAATAAGAGCATGCTTCAGAAGGGATATTGATATGCAGTCAAAATTGTAAATACGGTTTTGAGGTAATAGGAAAAATTAAAGTTATAGGACTAATTCCAATAAGCCACAATTTTTTTTCCTAGTAAGTATAGCTAAAATTGTGCACGACCTGTTTGTAACAGGTTTCTTCTCTTTATATCAGTCATTCTCCTTTAAGATATGGAAAATTGTATTAATTCCACCTAGACATAAATTAGAGATAGTAGTTTCCATGACCTATTAGAGCATTTAACTATGCAAAAATGAAGCACTGGAATTTCCGTAGAAACAAGGAAGACCTGAAACATGAGCTCTGATTCAGATACCTGAAGAAGAAACTTGTTTTGGAAAATATGTTCAGCCAGAGAGTAATAACTAACTACTCTTTAATACACTACTTGCCTAAAAACCCTATTAACTTTTTTTTTTCCCCTTTTGGAAGGCTTACTTATTTACTTTGCTTATGGCATCAGACACAGTCTTGAAGGTCATCATAGCAATGGAGATGACGATTCTTGTTCAGAAAATAGTGGGTTGCAAGAAAAGAACCCTGTGGAAGAAGTGGATGAACCTGAAAATGCAAATGAAAGTGATCAATTTCTTGCACGTGAGAGGACAAGTGAATGTTAATCTATGCAAACATAACAGTCTTTTAAACCTTTAATTGACAGTTTACTTGCAGACTGAAATTTCAAAAGCTTTCTGCCAACACTGTGCTTCTTGAAAGTGTTTACTACAAGGCCTGGCTGATATTTTGGACAAGCTGCTAATCCATCTTTGTCATTTCAGAACTGTCAGCATGGAGATTAATATTAAAATTAAAAAACAAACAAGAGAAGTACCCTTTGGCACGCAAAAATTTGGATGCATTGTTTGAACTGTCATCCAAAATCACTGGCAATCACAAAATATGAAGAATTTTAGAACTGCCTGCAAGTTCTGAATATTTGACGCTGCATTGTGAACACAAGTGCCTTTCATACCTTCTCCTTATCTCTGTTACATGTTTTGGTCACGATGTAACAGCTCTCTTCTTTCTACAGAATTAACTCTCACAGGAGATAAATTGCAGACAGGCCTGGAAAGTACTTGCAAAATGAATGGTAATTGTACAGATCTGATACTTTGCAAAAAGTAGAGAATCATGTATTTATATAACAAGAAATAATTGCTCACCTTTACTAATCAGTAGTCATAGAGAACTCGGACAGTAAAGATACTTCAAAGGCTTTTAGTCCCTCTAAATAGTATTCAAGATTTCTACTTATGTGAATTCCTTTCCTTTCAGAGATGCTGTGTGTATAAAATAATACTCCCAAGAGAAGCTATGTTGTTTTCTGCAAAAGAATCTGGGAAATGATCTGTAGGTCACAGTATTGACAGTGACATTTGTATGTGATTTAGCAAGTATTGTGCTTGTAATTTCAGAAGGGCCAGGATTTTATCTCTGACTACATAATTTGGTACTTACATACAGCAGTCATCAAGTTTTCCTCCTTACTACTCATTTATTCCCCCTGTACTTTCTCCTCCGTTACCATGTGCCAGAGCTGATATTTCTGAGATTAGTTGTTAGACATTGCTTCTCCTCAGAAAAATTAATACACAAAATCCCAGCCTTCTTTTCAGGTGGAAGGGGAGGTTAAAAAAAACAGAGGCCCAGGCTTTGGAAAAAAATCCTCTTCAAAGCAGTATTTCAGTGCCTCACTAAGCATTGAACATATGTTAGCACAGCAGTTTTCCGCGAGCCAAGCCTACATCCACAAATCCATTCATGCGGATAGGCTGTCCAAATGCTAATTTATGTAAAGAATCAAATTGTTGCAGCAGTGCTGGGTGAACAGTTATTTTAAAGCTAGTGAAAATGGAAACTGTTCTTCTTTCAACATAAAAGTCATGTTACCTGTCAAAGGTACACAGATATTTTAACACTTTTTCTCAGTAAGTAGTAGGCTCAAGTCCCATGAAGGATTCCACAATATGAAGTTATTTTGCAAGAATGTATTTATAAAAATAACTTCCCTAAAGACAGAACTGTCCTGGACTTTGTCACGAAGCGTTGCAATCTGTTGCCAGTACTAATCATTGGTATTAATTTCTGTTGTTAGGTATAAAAACTTTAGATCCCATGAGAGCTATGTTGGTTGATAGTGAAAAGCACCTTACTTTTTATAATAGCTGGAATTTCACAAAAAAAAAAAAAAACCAAACAAAAAAAAGAAACTAGTTAAGCTGCTTCTGTCTCTCTTCTGTTCTTTTTCACAGCAATAGATTCATGCTTTTTAATCTTGAAATGACTTCTGTTGTTGCAAGAGAGCAGCGTGCCTAAATGTTGAAGGGCAGAAGTGCTTCTTGATAGGGAACCCTGCAATGGGCTGGTATCCCACCGTGGAGCAGGGCTGAGGTTTTCAGCCTTCTCCCTTCTTCTCAGCTTGAACTGGGAGGAGAGGGTCCTGCAGTGCTGGCAGCAGCGAGTGGATAGACGTGTGCTGTTGCACCAGTGTCCTCTACTGGCTACTCAGAATGAGGAGTAGCAATCTGAAAATGCAAGAGGCGTGCAATAGGTAAAACAGCTACCTCTGAACTGAGGTTCCAGCGTATGCATCCTCTAACTGCAACTGCTGTTGTCCTAAGGACCATTTTTCTAGCGATTGGTGGTCCTTAAAAATGGATGGGAAAGAGAGGATGAGGGGAAACTATAGGGTAGGTGGCAATGGGATACTGTTTTTTAATATATCCGAATCCATCCAGAATTGATCATAAGTCATAGCCACTTCTTTCCACAATTCATCATCGCTTTACAAATGCCATTAAAGAAAGACTCAAATCTCATATTAGACTAATACGAATGGATGCTATGCTAAGTAAATATGTGGTTGATAGGAATGGATAGGAATTCTCGGGCTAGTTCCTAGACCTACTGATAATTTTCCATACCTTTCATTCGGTGAATGAAAGAGCTGTCTATGTCCGTTGCATCTGCTATTTTAATTGTAATTCTCAACTGGGGCCCATTTTTATGCCAAAAATGACAAAAGAACTGTATGTTCTTGTTTGAAATACTAGAAATTTTAGACTTTCCAGGCTCTTGAAAGGAACCCAATATAGTAATTCTAGATATGTCAAAACAAAGGTTTTCTTTATAAATAACCAAAAAATTGAGTAAATGAATGTGTATTCTGTTGGTTTTAATCCCACGAGTATTTGAAATAGAGAAGCTGATGTTTTTCCTGATCAGCTGCAACTCTGCCAAGAGCACGGCTTCTTCAGTGGTTATACTTTCAGAGGACATTCTTAACTTGTCTTGCCCCGTACTCTTAAATCCTTAGCTGCAAAAAAAGCCATTGCTGTGGGAGCGAGTCAGCAGTGGTCAGGCAGAGCTTTTGCATGACGTCTTTACAAGCCTACAGTGAAACACAGCTCTTTTAAAATTCCTTACACATCTCAGTGTGTGGGAAGCAGAGACTGACTTTTTTCTATGGTTGCTGATGCCACAGAGCAGGCGAGCCAGGCTCCCAAGATGCAAACTGCTGCTGTTCTGTGATGTGCGAGGAAGATCCCGTTGCCTCCCGAGGCCATCATATAGAATGTACGTGTGCACGCCTGTCTATATGATGGCATTTGTCTGACATTAGCCCATAGTAATTTTGATGTACTGATTACAATAATTTCTGTACTGCACTGGAATTTTCCTTTGAAGGGATACTGTCAATATAATAAACTTCTGACTAAAGCAGATGCTAGCTAGGGCTTCTGGAGATAGAGAAAATAAATTGTCCAGCTTATTTACCCAACGGATATGTCAGCACTTTGTGTATTGACAGTTTCCCCTTTCATTTGTATGAATATTTCTCCCCCCTTGTTAGAGAAATTAATTATATGAAAAGAAAAGAATGTGCCTGTACAAATGTTGCTAAGGGAGATGGGAGCAGCTGCAGCACAGGAACTATCCACTTAACTAATGAGATATAAAATGAAATTAGAGGAAAGTCATTGGATATTCTCGGTTGCTTCAACTGCGCAACACTTATTTATATGTGTGTATAGGTAAAGTCATTATTAGTCAGTGTCTGAGTAAGAACACGACAAGCCAGAAGTAAAGTATTTATGCTAACTTTGGTATGCATTTGTATATGGAATCTTGAAATTCCAGATGCTTTAGTGGGACTTTGCAGGAGTAGGCCATGTGAAGGACAGCCTATGCTAGTCCTTACACAGGAGCCACGTATGAAACAAATCCTGATTTTGTTCTCACGTTTGCTGTATGTCTCTATTTGCTGAGAGAGCAGCTGAAAGCACAAGTCCAGTGGAATTAAATGGTTGTTGTTATTTTTTAACATAGTTGTTGATATTGTAAATTGTTCTGTGCAAATAATAATGGTATGTGTTAATACAAAATATCTATTATTGGAGGTAGCTTATTGTTTTTTATCTTCCTTTGTAGAAAACATCCTCCAAAAACTTTATTTGCGTTGGTACATTCTGGATGTGTCTTTAGATAGAGGAATTACTCTTATCTAGTTGGATTCAAGAAAGTAAGCCAAATCATATTTACGGGAGAACAAATAAATCTTTTTGTTCTGAGGGATAGGAGATAACATTTCTGTATAATTCATGTTAACTAAAGTCATCTTCTTGTGGTATTCCAGTCCTAATTCTGCAGTAGGAAATTTTGTGAGGTATCTTAGATTTCATTGTCTGTTATCCTGGATAACACTATCCTGTTAATAAGAGTATGCTTTTTCCTGCACAAGAAATGCCGGTTAGATTCCTGAAATCTGTCATATTATGTTTATGTCACCCTGTGTTAAAGCCATTTATATTACCTGCTGTTAAAGAATTGTCAGTAATAAATGTCAATAGTAGTGATAGAGGGTTGCTTATATACTTACTTATGAATTTAACTATGCCATCCAGAAACTTCAAATGATACAGTGAATTTAGAGGCAAAACTTGGTAAAGCTTAAATATATGTGCTGTATTTTATTAGAAGATAAATGTACAAATCTAGCCACCTTTCCCCTAAAATTTCTGCAGAGATATATATTTTTAAGAAATAAAGGCGTACTGTTTTCATGGAGGTTTCAATAAGTGCCAATATCAGATGTGCCATAAGCATCCTGAGATCCTGAAAGCTGAACAACCTGGGTGAAATCTGTGAGAGTGCAGGAAATCTGTGTGGGACTGTGCAATCTTTTTAATCAGGTGTGATGCCTTGGACATTGAGGTGCATTTTGTACAGTAGGAATTTAATTCACATGATGGCTGGCATGTGTTACTTTGATTACATAAAAAAGAAAATAAAAGAACCTTTTAATGCTCTTGGGCCCTAATTCTTCCTAGACTTGCCAGGATGCTCATTGAAAGCACTGGGATTACTCAGTGTTAGGCAAACACGTATTTTACAGAAAGAGCAGGTGGTATTTCATGTAGTGTAGGGTCTTTGTATTTGTTGCTAATTTCCTGTACCTTTAGTATTTCTCTCTGGTATATGTTTTGAGGACCTCTGCATTTTTAATAGTTGGAGCTTTCCAAAGCTAAATATAATGCCTTTACTATCTCCTGATCTGTTTTCTGTTTGATTTTAGAAATCAAACTCTTTTAACATTAGCTAAGTCGAAGGATTTCTGGGCATAGACATGCATTACAAAGAACTATGTATATATATCATTAGTTTTATTGTCAGTTGGACAAATTCTGCTGTCTTGGTATGTTTTCATTGAGCCTTGTGCCAGGTAAACTCCAGCTTCACCAGTACAAGTTTATTTGAAGTCAGGACAAAGGATAAAAGGATATGAATGTTTAGGAGGGCTTTTTTCTTTTGTTACCAGAAAGTAAAGCATGAAATATGTGTTACACATCTTTAAAGACTTGGAAGTGTGCATCACTTTAAAAAAACATTAGTGTTCATACCCATTTTAACTTTTCCTTTTGTTCACATGTACATTGTAATGATTATTTCTGTATTACAAGCTGCTGAGCATTTAAAATGTAGATAGAATGATATGATGC